GGACACAGAGCCAGATAGGGGACTGGTGATGGGCATCCTCGGGCCAGCTGGGGACTTCGTCAGTCACCTGGACTTTCGAAACACTGCTTTCCGGCCTCCATCTCCTAGAATTTCTGATGAAGTAGGTCTGGGCTGTATTCCAAGAATCTGCATTGTTTTATTTACAATTTGTACTCAAATTAGTGTGTGTTGTTCTTAATATTGAGTAATACAGAATAATCATGGATATATGTTGGGTGTAGGGCGATGTTGCAATACACATGTGCATTGCATAATGATCAAACAATAGTAATCAACATTTCTATCACCTTAAATATTTAACATTTCTTTGAATGACATTCAAAATCTTTACTTCTTGGTATTTTTCAAGTATACAATGCATTACTGTTAATCACAATCACAATGTAATGCAATGGGACATAAAAATTTATTCCTTCTACCTAACCACAATTCTGTACCTACTCACCACCTCTCTCTACCTCACTACCATGCTTTCCCCAGCCCCCAGTAACCACCATTCCGTGCCCTATGTCCGTGAAGTTAACTTTTCTGGTGTTCCACATATGAGTTAGGCAATGCAGTGTTTGTCTTTCTGTGCCAAGCCTATTTCATGTAATATACTGTCCGTCAGGCTCACCCATGTTGTAACAGATGACAGGATTCACTCTTCGTCAGGACTGAATAGCATTCCCGTGTGTATATGACTACATTTTCTTTATGTGTTCATTTGTTGGTGGACATTTAGTTGACTCCCTATCTTGGCTGTTGCGAACAGTGCTGCATTAAACACAGGAGTGCCAATGTCTCTTTGACATACTGGTTTCATTTCCTTTGAAGATGCACCCGGTAGTGGAATTGCTATATTACATAGTAGTTTTATTTTTAATTTTTGAAAAATTTCTCATGCTGTTTCCCATAATAGTTGTTCTAATTTACATTTTCACTAGCAGTGTATAAGATGCACTCCCCAATGTCTTGGTCACTCCCTAGGGGTGGACAGGGTGGACTATGACTCCTGCCCTCACAAGAGGCACCAGTGCTGTCGTAATAAGCAAAGTTTAACTCCTGACTCTGTAAGGACTTTCTGGTTTCTAGGATGTGGAATCTTGGGAACTCTGTGACCCAAGTGATCCCTTCAAGAAATTAGAGCCTGGAATTCACAAGCAACTGAAGGGGGACTTACTCTAATCACATCTCTTGAGGAACACAGATGCCCAGTGCCACCAGTAGTGCCCGTTACGTATTCTCACTCTCTCCAGTCCTAACCAAACCTTCAACCGCTCCCTGCCTAACTTTACTCCTCCGCCTTTCCTCTTTCAGCACTTTGTTTTTATATTAAACAGATTTCTCTGAGAGCCCATATTTTAATCATCTACCTCTACCCATGACTCTCCACCACAGAAACCAAAATTTCTGCCTGGGGATGGGAGGCCAGATCCTAAATTGTCCATGAGGACAAGAAAGAACCAAGACGCAGGGACAGGGGAGTATACAAGTTAATCAGCCCACTCAGCGCAGACAGAGCTGTGGAGGTGTGGCTTGATTTCAAGGGCTCCAGAGCTAAGACGCAAGGAAGCAGGCCTGGAGTGGCCTTGGGAGATAAGAAGGATGGAGAGGCAGAGAGAGAAGGTTCCAGAAGTGAGCAGAAGGCTGCAAATGCATACAGCTGTAACCAGGAAGGGTGGAGGGTGATGGCTCATTTATCCACCCCGTGACAGGCAGCTTCCTGGGAAGACTGTGTTTTGTTTAGTGATTTGTGCTTTGCTGAGGCAGCAGAGCTCATGCCTGGCTTCCTGGGCAGCTGCTACATGGACTCCCTGAATGTGGGGCTGGCAGCCCAGCCGGAGGAGGCCCAGCAGCTTCAGCAAAAAGCTGCTCCTGGGCAGGAAGGTGTGGATCCATCTACTTAAAACAAGCTCTTGGCTCAGGGCGCCTGTCCTTCAGACCAAGTCCCTTCTGCACACCTGCAGGCTCAGAAGCAGGGACCTGCCTGCAGTAAGACACGAAAAGGATCTACCAGGTCTCCAGGCTGCCTGGGCACCTATGAATTTGTCCAGTGGCAGCACCAACCTCTCCATCTCAAACAATCAGAGCGGAGGCCTCAGCCGTCCACTCCTTGCACAAACATGGCAGCCCCTTCTCACTGGACACACACCGTGATTTTTTTTCAAATAAATGTTATAGCTCCTTTTCCTGATTGCTCCTTTGAATTTTGCTAACTTATGAGCACAGCCTGTAATTTCTACATTTTGTGACTGGGATGGTAATCGTCCCTGAGCACAAGGTGGTGTCCTATCTCAGACACTGGTTTCTTTGAAACGGCCGTCTTCACCCTCCCTCACCTTCCTGTCACTCCGATCGCTGGCCTTTTACCTCCTGTGCACTAGTCATCCCCAAAGGACCCAGGACACGGGTAGGAGGACAGAGGGTGCCGTGACAGTGTCCTTATAGGAAATGCCTCCCACACACCAAACGACTTCCGTTCGGTGAGGGAGACTGCAACTGCAACGCCTGGAGTGGCTGTGCCCCAGCAGGAAGCACCCTTACTCTCGACAACAGCATCATTGCCTGTTGCTTGTTGAGTGGGTCCACTCCAGAACAGCACAAAATGCTTCGCCCACATTGTATTTTCCTCTCATCATCATCCTGTGAAGTACATTTTCTAGAGAAGGGAAGGGAAGGGCGTAGCAACAGCAGACTGGCTTGCACAAGTCACGTGGCCAAAAGTCAACTCGAGCCCAGCTCTGCCTAGGCCAAAGGCTGCACTCCTAATCATTAACACGTAAGGTCCCGTAACAACCTCCAACTTAGTCTATTTTGTGTTGCTATAAGACACTGGGGACATTTGTATTTTGTAGCACAGTAAGTTAACTAACAATATTTTATTGAATTCAAAATCACTGGAAGAGTAGACTTTAATGTTCTCACCACAAAGGCGGTAACTATGAAGTTTCGGATGTGTTAAATACACTATTTTGATCGTCACACAGTGAGTACACATATGAAAGCATCACACTGTACCCCATAAATATATACAATTATTGTGGATAACCAACAAAAATTTGAAAAGGAATAATATCATAGCAGGACGCAGTATGTCTCCACTCTGAATCATGGGCATATTGCAGAAATACATCTAAGATAAAAGAAATGCAACTGTAACAGCAAAAATGCCTGGACTCCAACACACACCTGTGCCCAGGATTTTAGGAAAAGAGCGATGAGCCTGAACACGTCTGGAAATCTAGAGCTCCGGGGAGGGAGAGGCCAGGGCTCAAGCCCGGAGACAGAAATTTAAGAACCATCAGCTCAAAGGTAGCAGTTAGGGCCTTGAGACCAGACTTCACCAGGGGAGAGACTGGCATAGAGGCGACCCCTGGGATGCCCTGATATTTAGAGGTCGAGCAGAAGAGCTACATATTCTTAGCCTGATTTCACAGAAATGGACGCTGAGGGTCATGGTGGGAGGGCAGCAACCAGCACACATCAGCAAACTCCCCACCCCGGGCCCTAAGTAACCCTCGGCTGGGAGGTGTCCAGGAGCAGCACAGCAGGGCAGGCGGTGGCTCTGACACCAAGTGAAGCCAACTGGTGCCTGGGGTCTGGACCCACTGTGTCCCAGCACAACCCCTCTAAGTTCCAAATTCTGCAATCGCGTGTCTCCTAAACAGTTCCGGTGCTTGCAGCTCCCACTGTCAGGCATTGCCCCACCCTCCCAGAGCCGCCGCTGTGCCCTGCACACTTAGGTGTCCTGTGAAGGTGGAAGTGGCTGCTGTACTTATACTTGTTACTCTCACCGGATTGTGCAGTGCTTGAGAGCAGATACTGTCTCATTTGGGCATTTCTTCATAGTGGAACTCAAGAAATTCAGTGACCTGAGATCCTACAAGTTTTCAAATGAATGTAGGATTCCCCGCCCCAAATATCAATTAAGGAATTAGAGAAGTCTGTGGCATAAACAGGAAAGACAAATTCTCCTAATGCCTGCTGAGCCCTGTCCTTCCCAATTTTGAGATATTTGAGCCAAACACAGCCTCTGCCTCTTGGCCTCTAGACTGTTTACTTTGCAGCAAGCTGAGCTCAAAACTCTGTTGGAGCAAAACGCAAAGTTTTACACACCCAATCATTTTAAACATATCCCCAGTACGCAGAGTGCTGACCACTTAGAGTCTGATGTTTTGCACGTGCCGCAAAACTGCATGCAAAATCTACCAGCCATGGGTAAGAGCTGTTAGGACTCCAAACTGCTGCTGCCCTGTGGAGTTTTCTGCCAGGTGCTAGGCAATATCACCTGGACACACAGCCACCCCACCCCAACACCGGCTCTCCCTCCCTCCCCGGAGTTCCTATTCTACTCCCCTAGGTGGAGCTGGCCCCACAGGAAGGCCCCCATGTGCTCTCCGGAAGTGAGGGACCTCCTCCCTGGCAAACCCGTCAGCGAAGTCCGAGTGAAACTTTGTGTGCTACTGCCACCTTGTGGTCAGGAATTCCTCTCGGTCTGTCCTGAATTCACTCAAAGCCCCTGGACGAGATCCCAGCCCTCCATTCCCACACAGAGCGGTCAGCCAGGAATTCTGCTGGGACCAGAAGCTAATCCTACAGAGAAAGCACCCTGGTGTTCAGAATAAAGCCCACCTTTTCCAAAGGCTTCCTGTGGCTCCCCAGCGCCCCAGATTCTGGCACTTACTCTCATGCTCTGAGTACCTGCTCTGCCTTGAGGAGCCCCAGCCCACTAGGCGAGAGAACACTTAAGCATCCTTCTGACCTGTGAAGCTAAGATGCTAAGGAGCAGAATATTTGGAGGACAGGATTCTAACAGAGTTGGGAGCAGAGGTATACGACAGCAGACCGGGAAGGAAAGGCATCTCCAAGTGAGTAACTTGGTTTGGATTGGAGGTAACAGGAGGCAGGATGGCTGTGTGTGTGCTATGCGCTTAGGTCATAAAGATTCTCAAGTCATAGAGACCCTCGCCAGCCGGGTCAGCAGTCAGGGTGTCCAGAGGCTTCCATCAGGTGCAGTGGGGATTAGTTGCATGCTTCAGGGCCAGGAGTGGCCCCTCTGGCCCTTCAGAAGGACCCTTGGGGCTTCTCCTGCATGGGAATATCACATCTGGCATCTCCCCGGTTTTGGGAGGGGGCCAAGCCAGGTATCTGAAGCTGTAGGATGCTCGGTGGCCTCTACCTCCCCATTCTGCTCAGCACACCACCAGCTTACAGGAGTCTAAAAATAACCCAGCCCGGGACCTTCTCACCGGTGCTTGGGTGCGGGAGGCAGGCAAAAGCAGATGAGCTGGGGAGCCCCCAGCTCCCAGCTGTACCAGCTTGACCCAATTTTCGAGGCAGGTAATTTTCATGAAAGGTGGCTTCCTGGTGATCAGGGACCTGAACGTGACCTAGTTCTCTCCCAAGCCACTGCCATAAATTGGGCATGTTCAATAGAGAATATTCCCCTCCACACGATTTTATTAAATCAATTAATTGCATTCTTGCACCTGATTGGTCTCCTCATTCCCCTAAACTCTGAGTCGCTCCTGTGCCCTGTCCCGGGCAGGCCACCCAACAAGTCATTAGTCACTGTTGTGGGTTGGCCTTTCTCTGACTAACTCACCCCACCACAGCCTGTGTGCAGATGTGACGGGGGCAGGAAGCAGGAGCAAGGGCATTACCATAGTCATCAAGACACTGTGTCCATGGTCACCGTCTCCTCCTGGTGAAGCTGAGAAGTGCAGAGGTTCCACAACAGATTTGGACTCCCAAAGAGGGCTGTCACCTTCCTGCCACCTACAGGCTGGGTGCGCAAGAAGCTAGTGCCAAGACACTTCTGGGATGGCTTAGCAGATTCCCAGAGCTGGGGCTGGATGTGGACATGGGAGCAGCGTTTGCTTCTCACATGAGGATTTCTGAAGGCAGAATACTTACGAAAGCCTGCAAGGTCCGGGTAGAGGTCTAGAAAGGATGCGTGGAGGGCACACAGGTCTCTGCAGCCTAGGGGAGGCAGAGTCAGACCGTGGCAGTCCTCGGGCTTCATGTCAGGAACTCTCCGGGGCTAGAGGGAGAGGAAAGAGCTGGAGAACCCACATGGTGAGCCCACCCACAGAGAGGTTCGGGATGTGAACCCTGGTGTGAAGAGGGAAGCTTGACCGTCCTCTATGGGGGGATTGTCTAGGGCAAAGCAGGCCCCCACCTTGGGAAACCCCACATACTGTGCACCCGAAGCTGGTCACATCTACAGGGTGCACGGGCAGAAGAGGAAACCACTCAAGCCAGAGCCAGCCTGGAGCTATACACACCAACAGGAGGCCTCAGTAGTGAGGGTGTCTTAGTCATCTCTCCAGTGAAAGACAGGAGACCTGTGCCTGCTATATTTTAGCATCTCTTGCAAGAGAGGTGTTGACTGTCTGGACTTTGTTCTGGACTGTCTTTTCAAGGGTGTTTATATTAGGAACAGCCTTGAAAGATAAAGATGGCAGATCTCCAAACCAAAAGCTAGGAAACTTAATGTCCAGCTAAGGAGAGATGGTGACTCCCTCCAGAGCCAAAGCAGGCACGTCTGCCATTACAGATACCTCGCTTCCCCAAGCTCGGGGTTCCTTCCTTTTGTTTTGTTGTTGTTGTTGTTTTGCTTTGTTTTGTGTTTTTGAGACAGGGTCTCACTATGTAGTTTAGACTGACCTGGAACTCACTATATAGCCCAGGTTGGTCTTGAACTCACAGAGATTCTCGTGCCTCAGCCTCCTTAGTGCTGGATTACAGGCCTGAGCTCCCATGCCCGGCTGGGTTCCTTCTTATTAAGCAACCCACTGCGTAATGGATGTCCTGTGTTACTGTAAGAACCCATTCTCAGGGAATGGACATAAAAATGTCGATGCTCTGACCATTGCCGTACTGTAAGTAAGAAGCCTTCCTTATCTCTAACCCAGGGTCTCCTGTCTTTCCCTGGCATGCATGAATGTGTGACACGCAAACACATTAGCTTGTAATTAGGACAAAATCACTTCACAGTTCCCAACCCTGTCTCCCTCCCCAACCCCAAGAGATTAAAGAGAGGAAGAATCGGACTATACGTCTGTGCAGTGATGGAGGGGAAGTAAAGGAACAGAGTGCAAGCCTCCCCTCCCTATCCCTGCCCCACTGTCCTGCTCAGACCTGACTCTTGCCGGAGGTCCTGAAACAAGTTGGGACTGCGGTTTCAAACTGCTCTCTGTAAATAACTAAAATGACTAGAAAGCTAAGTGACCACTTGGAATGTCATTAAGAAATGGGGAAATGGCAAGTACCATTGCTCCTGAGCTTAAAATGGGGTCATGTCCTCACCAAGTCGCCATAAAGTGAAAATATGGTAAGTGGAACATGTATTTATTTTTTGTTACTTCTTTAGGGATCTACATTGCTGTGATTCAAATGCAGGGCCTTGAACATGGTGAGTAAACTTTCTACCATCAAGACTACCGTCCGGAACACACATGCATACACTATTCCACGAAACATCACAGCACTGATGTCCATTATTCACCCCCACGACCGAGTGTCTGTCTTGTAACTGTAGCTCACTGCTAATACCCACATCACAAGAGAGGATTTCAGTGCTTATCACTGGTCCAGGAAAAAAAGCAAAATCCAAAATTCGATCACAGTTTTTACTAAATGCACACACTTATGCATCACTGCAAAGTCAAGATATCTTACTTAAGTCATTCCACACTAACTCAGGGGCCAACTTCAGTGGTAGAGAGGAAATATCTGATCATAGTCATGGATGTTCTGCTGAACCCAAAGCCACATTCATAGCCTGGTGGTTGCCAGATCCCAGACCAAACATTTCACTTTTGCAGACCCCTCGCAGGCCCAACAAGCCCTCTGTGCACTCTCTTGGAAGCTGTGGACTGGAACAGTCCTGATCTTCAGCCCAGATTTGTCCTCTGCCACTTGCCCTTCACCCTTGAACCTCCCGCTGTGCTGTCTGCTTCTCCATGAAGGCCTGTGCAGTGCGGAAGCCCCTCTCCCACAGAGCAGGACCACCTTCCTCCTGCCCTCCCGCCTTAGAAGAGGCAGCCATTCGTCACTCCCAGCTGGGCAGGGACCACCCGTCAGGTCCCTTCGGGTGGGCTGACCCTACCTCCCTGGATGCACAGCCGGCCCCAGACTTGCTGCCCCACCGACTCTGCAGCCTCAGAGCGGACATTGGCAGCAAGCCCTCATTGTGCCCCCACCCTCCCCCCACCGTACCTGGGTTCAGGTGAGGCCCCACAATGACCTCTCAGGGCTTCCGTGTCTTCTAAGTCACTGTGTTCTTGAACGGGGAATAAGACTTATGGAAACCCAGTCATGTGCCAGGCATCTTCTAAGAACTGTACATGTGTTAATACCTCCCACGGCCAATACCTATCACTTTATTCCCACAGAAACCCTGGGAGGTGCAAACAAGAGCATCACCCCGACTTTGCAAGTTAGGAAACAGAAGCACCAAGACATCAGGCGATGTGACCACAGCGACAGCTTGGGAGTACCAGAGCCAACTTAGGTGCCTGAGGCCTGGGAGCCTAACCATAGCACTGCACCACTTCCCTGATGCACTGTGTTGTCCAGCCGTGAGGGAGTATTGGACACAGATATCCTTCCACTCCTGATGATTATTTCTAATAACACAATTTCCCCAGGAAGCCTAAATGCAAGTCGTTACTCATAAAATCTGGCTTTCCCTTCAAAGACACTAATTCTATTAGTTGCATGGGATGCCAGGGTCCCCATCTGTCACAAGTCATCTTCCCAGGCTGCTGTTCTGACCTCGGGACAACTGTCCTGGCACCTGGCCTCATGAGCTACACAGACCCTGTTCTACCCCCTGCCTCTGTGTTGCAGATTCTATCAACTCCCCACTAGACACCCTCATCCTCAGCATATCAGAGCTCTCCAGCCAGTGCTCAACTGCCAGCCTCTGTATCCCTCTGTCTTGGAGGTTTTTTTGCTGCTGGAGCATTGGGGTGCAGAGAATTAAGTCAAATCTTCCAGAGAGCAGCCTCCAACCAATGCTGGGAGTTGCTGTGGTGATACCCCAGTTCTCTTGCCCTTGGGTGGTGCTATAGTTTCCACATGGTTTCTCCCCCAAAAGTTTCCTACTCTGAGAACTTGGTGACCAGCATGGCAGTAAGGAGTGATAAAAGCTTCAAGAGTGGGCCTGGTGGGGGTGATCAGGTCCTGGGCACTCCACCACAAGGAATAGATTCATGCTGGTTTCACAGAATGCTGTGGGTCTCTCAAGAGTTAGTTCCCATGACAGTGAGTTGTTATAAAGTGAGTCCACCTGAGTTCTTCAGTGCTTACTAGAAAAAGAGATAATATAAGATATACAAGTATATAAGAATTTACCAAATGGTCTCAGAATGGCCACCCACAGAGTCGTATGTGTCTTGGAGTGCCAAGGGTCTGCCCACACACTGGAGATCTGAAGGACCCAGTAGAAGCTCTGGGGCTCACTGCAGTGACCCATGAAGTCTGTATCAGGAGGCTGATGGGTCTGCACTGGAAGCCGGGAGATGACATCTGAGGTGAAGGCAAGGACTGGAGAGCCTCTGAAGAAACAGAAGCGGATCCACCCTTTCTCATTTGCCCTTTATACCATCCACCCTACGGTGTGGAATCGCTGAGCTGATTTAGTTGAGCTTCTCCTACTCAGGAAGACACAATCAACCACCCCACCCACTACTGGTTCCCTTTCTGCCGCTTCCTCAGGCTGTGATGCAGACAAAGCAGCCCTTACCAAGAGACCAGCACCAATTGTTTGGACCTTGCAACCACCAAAACTGTGAGCCAACCGAGCCTCTGGTAAAGAACACAGCCACGGGGATTTTATTAGAGCAATGCAAAATGGGCAGATAAATGTGATAGTTCCAGGGTGCTATCCTTGCATTAGGTACTTTGCAACTGTTGAAACAAAATATCCAATACCCATAATTTAAAGGAGGAGAGATTCATTTCTGCCTCATTTCTGCTCTTGTTTTCAGAGGATTCGGTCCATAGTCAGATGGCTGCACGGCAGCAATGTCATGGTACAAAGGCAACTGCAAGCTAAAGCTGCTCACCCCTGTCTGCCAGGAACCTGGGACAGAATTGAGGAGAGGGGCCAAAGATAAGAACACACCCTTCCAGGTCGCACCCCAGTGTGTGACCTGATCTCCTGGGAGCACATTCAGCTATGACTCATCAATGGATTCACAGACTGCTGGGTTATAGCACCACCGTGATCCAATTGCCTTCTGAAAGTCCTACCTCTGAACACATGAGACTTTGTGGGGGACAATTCAAAAATAAACCCTAATGACCCTGCCTGGCTTCCCAGTTTCCCCCGTGAGAAAAAAACCCAAGAGCACATGATGCTAACCTACCTTATGACCAAGGCACCTTCCCAGCCAGGTCTCACTCCTCTCCCACCCACACAGCAAGTGTTCACCTCCCAAGGAATCACATCCTTGTCTTAGGCTCTGTTTCTGGGGAATCCAGACAAATGCAATCCTCCTGTCTTCTTCTGACCCAACCGTAAGACACATGGTTGTGCCTCCTCCAGCTTCCTTGAGACCTACCTTCCCTCTTTCCTCTCCTCCAGCTCCACCTGTCCCTTCCTCCTGAAGCTCCTGCCGAGAACAGGTCCCACTAGCCTCCCACACTCACCCTCCCTCCTGCCTCTTGGAGAGCCTTCAGTTGCACAGATGAAGAAACTGAGACGAAGAAAGATTTGATAGAGTCAGAATGAGGCTCTGATGTTAGCCAGAGCTGTCACTGCTACACCACAACCTGCGTGATCCCCACGACATGGGCAGAAAGATCATGCAGAACTTCTGGGACCTGAATATACTTTAATTTCCTTGGGTAATCACCTTTTCACCCAGCATCTTTACTTGCTGGATAACACATGATCTCCTTCTTCCTACTCTCTGTCTCTCTCTGCCTGCTTCATTCTCCCAGGCCCTGGCTGGTGTCACGGAGTCTCCAGATTCCTGGCACAGTGTACCCAGAGCTGAGGTGGAGTTGGTCCCTCCTGCCCAAGATGTCCCTCCATAATTACACCTGTAAGCATTTGTGGGCACAAATAAAAGCTTGGGTAGGCTCCCTCCCCCGACTTCTGGCACCATTAAAATCTCTTATCTAATTTGTTTTTTAGATCAAATTTTCCTTTATTGTTTCCACCCATTTTTATAACCTCTGAGATTCTGCTGAATTCTTCCTGTTATTCTCGCTGGGGTTTGTGCTCCCTCCCAGTTTAATATTCTCCTTGAATTTAATTAGCATGCTATCTATCCAATCATTTAAACGGCTGGCAGAAAGAACTCCGCAGCCTTTCTAATGATTGTCCCATCACCACGCAAGTGCACACCAGATGCATGAACGTGTGCTGTTGACTGCCCCAGGCACCTCAATCAGGAAACTGAGCTTCCTATTGGCCCTGACATCCAAAGCCGAGCATCCCAGAACCTGGTACATAAAGGAAGATAATTCTACAAAATTCTACTCCTCCGATTCACCTCAACCAAGAATAAAAGTGCACTGTGGCTTGAGTGGTTCTTTTCACTTCTGCTATGGCTGATGCGGTGGTGAAGGAGATGATAAGAGGATTATGACCCTGCCAAATCCCTTCTAAAACTGTAGCCTCATGAATTTCATTCCGGGTATGAAACAGACCCTCACCAGGGCTACTTACAAGGACATGCAGTTCTTGGAGCAATTTCTAAAGTGAAAGTTCTCACTGGAACGCCAATGGAATTAATTGGTCCACCTTAAAAGGGCTCTTCTGGTTTGCTTTTTTAGAAATTCTCAGAGGTTCACTCTGCCTGGCACACATCAGGTGTGGTGTTGGCATCAGTGAGTCACTGTGCACAACTCCCTTTCTCTGTAACAACTGAACACCTGGATTTCAGCTACACACCTCTCCCCCTTGCTCTTAACTGTGGCCACGTGGCCAAGCTCTGGCCAGTGAACTTTCAGAATATGGCCTTTAAAAGGAAAGATAGGCCCATCTCTTCCTCCTCCCTCTTCCCCTTCCTACCCCAGAATGTGGTCTTGAAGGAAGAAGCAGCTAGTTATCTTCTGCTGTGCAATGGAAGCCACACAGTCGACACATCAGAACAGAAGGGTAAATCCTGACATTGTTAAGTAGTAAAGTTATAGCAGAACAATATTTCAATAAAAGTGAACCAAACTATGTGTCCAAATTATCCTCATGAGGCCCACTTATAGGATGGAAGAGTAAAGAGCACAGTCGACTCTTCCCAACAGATTTTATCCCAGAAGAAATCAGAAAAGCAATTTAAAGTTTCTGGAAATTGTTATGATAGCAAAGGGAGAAGCATTTATTCATGAAGACCTGCTAAATCTTCATCAGACCAGCAAGGTCTTTCCACATGACCAGCTCATCCCACAAGCTCTGCCTCGGGAAAATATCCAGGAGCAAGAGCATGGAGCCGGCAGAGAAGATACGATCCCTCCCACCACAGGAAGTGAGGGGAAGAGTCTTGCTCTCCACTGGTAGGCTCGTGGTTGAAACTCCTGTGTCAAAAGAGGTTAAGGAGAAAAGCACACAAGCACATTTAATATAAGTTTGATGCGTCGCAAAAAGCTTCAGAAATGAAGACTCCAAGAAACGGGAAAACCTGTATACTTGTATGTTTGATTTTGACGAAGAGTGAGGAGTCTTGTGGGAGTACGACTGGACAGAGGGGTATGATCTAATGGCAATGAACTGAGGGAACTTACAAACCAGTTTGTGCAATGCTTCTCTGTGTCCCTGGGTCTGCAGAGAAAAGAGTGTTTCTTTCTTCTGGGTCCAGGGAGGCCACCTCTCAGATGAGAGCCTGCTTCTGGAGACGAGGGTGGCAGAAGACCAGAGCGTACCCTCCCTGTGTCTGCTGTTTCTTCTGGGCCAAAGTGCCATATTTCAGGGTAATGTGCCCTGAACCCATTATCAGCTTCCCACCGAGGTTGGGGCATTACTCTCCGGAAGAGAGGCCACCGGTGACCCTTCCCTCCTGGTTACAGAGCTCTCCACTCCAGGCAGGTGTGGCCACCACCGTCTCCTCTCTGTAATTATGTCTTATGCTGATGTGTTGATATTTTGGGCCTTCGTAATCCTGGGGAGATTGCTCTTCCCAGGGCCAACCAAATCCTTCAGATCATAAGTGACTCACTGTTCTGAGATGTGGATTGAATTATTACTGAAGTACAAGGAAACAAATTAGGAGTCAGCTGCTATTGAAGAGATGACTTAAAATGATGGGGTACCCCACACCACACAGCACCCATGGAGAAGCACTAGGGCAAACTGGGTGGGGGGAGGGATGGAAACACAGCAGCAGCCTGGATTCCGGCAAAGCAAAGTGAGCCTGCCTGGGATTAGCTACTACAGATGAATTCACTGCGTCTGGGGCACTCCTCCAGGTGATAAAGGACCTGCTGCAGGATATTACCGGGTTATGAGTTCCGTCAAGAATGTGGGGGCTGGGGTGCCTGCACAAGAAAAACACACTTTCGGACAAGTCGTTTTAGTCTGTGCTGCCGAAACGAAATGCCTGAGACTGAGTAACTTACAGACAATAGAAACAGATGCCTTCAGGTTCAAAATGTGCTCAAGGCTGCTCTCTCCTCTGCAGCTTCACATGGTAGAAGGGGACAGAGAAACAGAGCAGACACTGTGTGAACGCTCCTTCGCGAGGGTACTAATCCAACTCATCACAGGAGGAGACCCACCTCCTCACGCCACTGCCTTGGGACACATTCAGACCTCAGTAGAGTCCTCTGCCGCCTTAGGGAGCCAGTGTTCCTGGGGAGGCAGTCTCCCGGCCTTACTGAGGCTCCCTGGGTTGAAATCCTCACATCAGAACAGAACCACGTGTGCGGTCCTTCCGGCCAGGTGACTTCATTTGACATCACAATAGGGAAACTTTGAGATGAGAGCAGTGGAGACTCCATATGTGTATGATTTAGGGGCTTTGGGGGGAGGGATTAAAGGAATTCTTTCTTTTTTTTCTTTTACTTTCTTTTTAATTTTCACCTTTTAACTGCAAATCACACTGTACCTGCTTATGAAGTATGAGGTGCTGTTAGTGATTTCTAGGCAAAAAAAGGTTTTTCCTGCAGCTAGCTGACCTAAATGACAAAAAGCCAGCCCGTGCTCATAGCCCCTCACACACACACACACACACACACCAGGTTGTTGATGGACTCGGAGGTGGACCCCATGACTTGGCTGTTATAAATCGTGCTGCTGCTATGTATACATGGACATGCAGACGTCTCTTCAGCATGCTAACTTCAAGCCTTTTAGGTAAGTACCCCAGAGGGAGACTGCTAGATGGGTAATGGAGACATTTAGAGAGCAAGGCAAAAGTACTTCTAAAATATATAGGTGACATTTCAGCATGACAGTAGAAAAAGAGGAGCACAAGTTTAAGCATGAGAGGTCCTTGCAGAGCAGCCCATCTCTAAGCTTCTTATTTGTGTAGAAAGCAACTGAGATTTGTGGGGCCTCTAATGTATATGGTATCTTGGTAGAGTTGTGGAATGTCTTAAAAGCAATAGTTTGCCAATAATATCTTCATGTATTTTTCAGGTCAGGAGTACAGGCTTTGTAGCTATGCTGTTGGAGAGCATCAATGGTTGGCTTAGTAAAGTATACCTGAGGATTAGTGATATTTGTGTAACTAAAGGAAGCGGTGGCTGTGGTGATCATGGCTGGAGATCAGAACAGGAAGTCATGGTGGAAAGCTGAAGGGGAAGTAGAAGTCCCTGGGGTGGGGTAGTCTTCTTTCCAGGGGATCGAAGACTTCACTGATCTGAACCTCCCACAGAAAGAAATAACCTCCAGGAACGTCTAGAGTGGCACGGGTACCAGCTACCACCACCAGATTCCCTTTAAGTGTGGGAGTATAGGGGGCATGTTTTCCTGAGCAAAGATGATAATGGAATCGTGGGCTCAGCAGATGAAGGATTCACAAAAAAAAGTAGAATCCTTAATATCTAGTCTCAGAAGAGAAAAAGAAGAAATGTCTGTCCAGTTCACCGATGTTTCAGGAAATATAATCCATGCATGGCTGGGGGAGAAGTTCGAGGCACGGGGTGCATTTGTCTTACTCCTGAGGGCAGAGTCACCTGGAACCACAAGGTCTCAAACTGTGGAGATGCCAGCAGAGGCAGTGTCATCTCCAGAAACTAGGTCTAGGTGATGTCTGGGATAAGGGTCTGGGTCAGTGGGTTGAACCTATGGCACTCAGGCTGCAGCAGGCCCTTTGTATCACTGGAAGTTCTAAGAGGTTCACCATCCCTGGTCTAGGTGCCATGTGGGATGAAAGTCTCAGCGATGTCCTGGATGTAAGTCTAGGATGTTCGGTGTTCCTGGAAACAGTTGATGTAGCTGAAATCTTGTCCACAGATTTAAGTAACAGCAAAGCTGTTGAGATGCCCCACAGGTAGATTTTTATTTTCTCTCCCTATATCTAAGGCATTTTTCTTTTTCCTTTTTCTTCCTGTCTTAAACCTTTAACAGATTTTCATTTCTGTGTCCAGTTCATGGCTCACAGTGACAGCCTCCTTAGCAATTAGAGGAAAGAGGGATGGAGAAAAAGACTGGAGTTTTCCTTCTGTGGCTTTTGAATCCACCTCCCAGGCACTGCCTTTGTATTCAGACAGAAACAGGGTCCTCTCCCTCCTCTCCCTAGGAAAGTAAGGTCTGGACCCCGATACCATCACATACCCCAACCCTCCACCCCATATACCCTTGAATCCACCCACCTCACCCCATCTGAAATGAATCCCTTTTCTTTTCTTTTTCTGTTTTTCTAAACAAATGGTTAGAATGGCTTGTACTTCTAGCTGTGTAAAATTGTTTCTTTTGTGTTCTGTTGTTGTTGTTGTTGGTGGTGGTGGTGGTAGTGGTGGTGGTGGTGGTGGTGGTGGTGTTGCTGGTAGAGGTGTCTTCTGTCCCTTCCAGACTGTTTTTTCCTCTTTTTCCCCTTCCCGTGAGTGTTTGAGCTGATAAACTCCTGGTGGTCCTAAGCAGGGCCTGTCTCCAGCAGCAGCTTCCCTCTCCAGACTGCCCCACCTAACGTCTGAGGCTCTGGGTCAACTTCCAGGAGAGCAATAGTGTCCTTTTTAGTATTTTTAAGACTTAGTTTTGAAGCCTTTGACAAGCTGGTAGACAGTGGTACTCAGTTAAGGCCCACGCATATTATCCAGACTTCTCATATGATCTCCTCGAGTGGGAAGATAGTGGGGTAGAGATAAAATATTATTTTTCCCTTTCCAGTCACATGAAACATGACGCCACTAGTCTCCCGAGGGATGGTTCCCATACCCTACCGTCTACGGGGATGAACGGCTGCAGCCGCAAAGTCAGTCACAGTGCATTAGCAATGCCGTCTGTAGAGTATGTGCTCCTTGAGGGGGCTACCTACATAGTGGCTCCCTGTGTGGCTAAAAACTCATGAGAACTTCCAAAGAGCAAGCACCTGCTACTCAAGAGAAGAAACTGAAATGAAAGGGAAAATACTTCACGTTGCTAACTACTTATCAGTGCTTTCCTCAATGGAGCAGGCTCTTCTCACAGATCTGGGAAAAACGTCACACCTTAGACCCTTGAGAGGAGGCTCACTAATTTAGAGAGTCAATCAAAGCAAACAAAACAAAAAGAAAAAGATCCCACAACTAGCATTATCCTAAAACCTAAACGAGTAACACAGTTGATAATGGAACTCAGGGAGGACACAGGCATCAAAATCAAATGTAGGATGGGAATCCACAGCAACATCCAGCAAACCCATACACAGCCGCAGTCATTCCAAGTGCAAGCACATGCCAGCCAGCAGAGGTATCTTCCCAGGCCACCACTGCCATCTGGTGGAACCAGTCAGCAAGCCAAGAGCAGGCTATGGACACATTTCCAGGCTCAGAATAAATCGCACTGATTGCTGCACCTATCATGTTTTAAAATGTGGGCTCTATTACTATTCAGGTGTGCGGAGACCAGCAGAACAGGAGAGCATTGCCACTGAAGAGATGGCTTGGTATTCACAAAGCCCAGGTGACTTGCCACACCACTCAAGGCCGCACACATAGAACGTAAAGATGTGTTAACACACTCAGGGTGGCACAGGGCACCTTTCATGCACAGACTACCCAATCCAGGGCCCACTCAGCTCATTTGCTCTCTGAGCTCTCACACATACCCTGCTCAGAGCCAGTATTCCTCTGCCCTAGTACCTCAGGGTCAGGAACCAGGAATGAAAGAAAAAGACTTTGTCCTAGACCCCACTGGAATTATTCAAATTAGCCATTCCTACACCGGCTTAGCCTGCCTCACCCATTTCTTCCTGTGAAAACCGCAAAGAGGCTCTTGCCCATAACCCATGCCCCAATCCTTCTGGCTCCTGACTAATCATGGTGCTGAGTAATAGCAGCCTCTTTTACAACACTCTCTTTCTTCTCCCAGCTCCTCTTCATAGAGTAAAGAATCTACTCCAAGAGTCACAGACTCCTCCCTAGCTCACTTACAGGCAGAGTTCTACATCGGCAGAGGCAATCCAACAAGATTTGGAGCCACTGTATAACTAATCTCTGCTTGTGGAGTAGAAGTATCACCTGCATGCCCCTATTTCTGTAACTTAGAGTTTCAGTCCAGTACAAAAGGCGGGCCAGAAAAATAGGCTGTCAGGGAAAAGAGTGCCCCAACACTGCTTAGAGAACTGATGTTGTTTGGAGCAGGATATACAGAATGTTATGCCTAAGGCCACTGTGAAAAGAAGAAAAGACCAAAGAAGGAGAACTTGGTGGTGGGCAACGAAGAAGGCGCTCATAGCTTGGTGATATAAGTAGCAACAAGAAAGATGGAAGAGCAATCAGAACTTAAACAGAGAGCACTAGGGAAAGAAAGAGAGGAGAGAAGTCCTGGTGGGGCTAGAGACAGTCAATGCTGAGGTTCAAAAGGTTATGCACAACAGCAGGCTGCACCCACCCAGGGGCAATCAGAGCAGAGTGTGGGACAGACTTAAAACACCCAAACCAGACCAGCAAGTAACAAAGGGCCTCTGAGACTCGCTGACCCTACAGGCATAAGCACAAACACTTTCAGAAAAAAAGTAAGTTGCTCTGATGCAAGGGTGATGCTTAGGAAGCCAACCTTAGGAAGAGCACACAGCTGTCCCCAAGTGTGCAAAGCTATGTGCCTCACCAAAGCGCGGCCTACAGCAGTGTTCAGAAATGAAAGACTCAAGCTACTAATCCCTGGATAAGCAAATGTACCCCTCAAACAATGAGAGTGACCTCCAAGCCACACACACACAACAGGAACAGGGTAAAACTAGCTAAGTTTTATGTACAAATAAGCGATATGCTGACCTTGGTCTAATCCCCAGAAATCTGGGCTTAAAAATAAAAACAAAGTGAAAACAAGGGGAAAAAATCTGAAGAGAGAAATCAGAGACTGTCCACATTAGAAGAAAGAGACTTCACAGCCAAAGTGTTCCAAGTCAACAAGTAAGTAAATAAATGACCACAAAATAGCGATCATATCAACCCCTAGTGGAGGAGAGGAAAAATATCCAGAGTCACTACAACATATTATCTAAAATATCAAGTTTTCAATAACAAAAAATGAGCCATAAGAAAAACAGATTGTGACCTATACATAGGGAAAGGTAATTGAAATTATTTTTTAAGAGGGTCAAGATTTCAAATGTATTAAACTTAAGTGACCAAGATTTCAAAGCATCTGTTGTAAATATGTCCCATTAACTAAATAATTTTAAATGTATGCATGTGACATTTCAGCAAATATAGAATATCAACAAAGATAAATTATTTTTCAAAAAGAATTGAGTGGAAATTCTGAAGTAGAAAAAATTCAGTAACAAAAATGAAAACTTTACATGCAGGATCCAACATTAGATTTGAGCCAGCAGAATACAGATTTAGTAAACTTGATAATAAATGAATAGAGATTAAATAATCTGAAAAGAGAAACAAGGATGATAAAAAATAGAGCCTCAGTAAAGTATGGGACATTACACAGTTTACCCACATGCACATAGTAGAAGTATCAGAAGCAGAGAGAAAAAAGAATAGAAAAAATTTGATATAACAAAGCCTGAAACTTCACAAATTTTATTTAAAAAAACTTCCTAAAAAGATCAGTGTACTCAAACTAAGGTAGATGTAGTGATATCTACATCCAAACACAAATATAATAAAATGCTGAAAGACAAAGACAAGGCCTTAAAAGCAGCAAGAGGAAAATGACTCATCACATGTAAGAGAATCTCTGTAAGACCAACAATTGACTTCTCTTCAGAAACAATAAAGTCAGAGGAATGGAACAATATATTTAAAGTGCTGAATGTAGGCATTCATCAACCAAAAACTAAATATCCAGAAAAAAATTTCTATAAAATATGAAGAAGAAATATTTCCAGATAAAATCTTTGGGAATGTGTAGCAAGGACACCTTATGAGAAATACTTTTTGAAGGTGGCTGGATCTAGGCTGTGAGCTGCAGGGATCAAGGATGTGATGCTGGGATTGATTCTTGTTGTGATGTTAAGAGTAAAGGCTCCCCACACTGGGTGTGCGTGCTGCCTTCCTAACAGTGGGTAGCCTAGAGAGAACATAAGGGACAGAAAGAGGGCTGCTGCTTGGTTTTCTGCTTGTTGCCTTCTGCTTATCATGAATAATTTCTCCTCTGCAGTGTCCTTCTGCCATGCCAACTACGAACTGAAACCCCTATAAACCATGAGCTACAATGAACCTTGCCTCTTTTAACTTTGGGTATTGGATATTTTGTCTCAGCAGTGAGAAAAGTAACTAAGATAGTTACCACCTCGTAAGTTGATAAACAAGATGTATCCATACAATGGCAAATAATTTGGCAATAAAAATGAATTAATACCTGTTACTACATAGGTGAGTTTTTGAAAATACTGTGCTAAGTCAAATAAGCCAATCAGAATACTGCACGTTATGTATTTCCATTTATATGATGAATCTAGAATAGGAAATTTATAGAGGCTGTAAGTCATTGACTATCTACTGAGAATGGCTGAGGGAAAATCTTACCCTCTATTACATCACCCCTGTTTGCCCATGGGAACACACTTGGATACGTTAAGAAGCAAGCCTGGGTCACACATCCTGTAAGGAGTGGAGCTGATTTCAAATCCAAGTCAAAATCCAAATTCTCCAATAAAATGTTTCCCTATAGAACAGACCAGTCCTGCCTCTTGACTCTGCTACAAACACCTGCATACACAGCCACAGGTAAGGAGCAGCATTTCAAGGGCCTGGGGCTTGCCTCAAATCTCACCACGGCAGTCACTGGAAATTACCTATAATATTAAGCATTTAAGTTACGTTTGACATTTTAAAAAGATCAAGATTGGAAGGCTCTCCTGGCTACTTAGTGTCAGTGCCTGAAAAGCTGTCCCACCTCTATAGAAAGCAGCAGAGAGCTAAATCCCTGTCCTTCAAACCAGAGAGCTCCATGGAAGCAGCAGCTATGGTGATACTTTGATAAAGGAACCCATGCTTAATTGGACAAACTGGACCAGTGCTAAACAGGAAGCTCTATGGTCATATTATTCAGCCAGTATCTCAACAACGTGTTGCCTCAGGTCTAGGCTGTATTGCTCAAGATCCCCCAGAGAACAAATAGGTGATACAGGCTGATGAGAGATATGGACAGACAGGTAGTAGAGCAATTGGTTGATCAATAGATAAAGAGGAGATTCATTTTGGGAACTGGCTCATGTTCTTGTGCTGCCAGGAAGTTCCATCGTGTGGCATCTGCGAGTTTAAAAACCAGGGAAGCCAGCAGCACAACTCAGTCCGATACCAAAAGCTGAGTGCCTGGGGACTTCCCATGCACAGCAGAGGTCTAATGCCTGACAACCTGGAGTTCTGCAGCCAAGGCCAGGAGCAGGTGGGCGTCCCCGTTCCACAAGGAAGCAGATCTTTCTTTCCTCCTCCTTTCTCTTCTTTGCAGGCCCTCACCTGGCTGAACAGTGCCCATGCACAGTGGGTGAAGTACAAGGACTCAAATGCCAATTTCTTCCAGAAACACCTCACGTACAACCAAAAATAGCACTTTCCCAACTATCTCAGCATCCTTCTTGGGGAAATCAGAAAAACCTCCCACTGCTGCTGCAGCCCTTCTTGCCATGGCTACGTGGGACCAGGGGGAGGTCAGGTATGCACCCACTTTATGTTTCATGTGCCAAATTTAAGGATACACATGCCAAAAAAAACCCTCAGTAATTAAGATAAGCAGCATTTTAGTGCAATACTTTGAATCTTAAATTAATGCAAAGAAAGTCATGATGCACGAAATATCAAAATTGTAAACAAAGGTGATGTCTTTATTTCAATTTCTCCTTTTGGCTCAGGCTCCACTTTCACTTGACAGTGTGAGTACTGCCGAGGTTACCGAAGAGAAATGAGTCGCAGGTAGTTGGGCTTCTGGGATGTCACTTGTCATGTAATGCAAATGCCGACTGGAAAACGAAAGATGGGCATAGCCATGTTCCAGTGATGACCTCAGGAAGCCCAGGAGGGATGAGGCCAGAGCAGTCCCGTCATGGGGACTAAGGAATTCTGTGATACGCTGTCTGCAAGCTGGAGGAGCAGGGAAGCCAGTGACGTGGTGCCAAAGACCTAGCTAGGAACCTAGGTGCCAGGGCCAAAATAATGTGTAACTGTAACTTGAATGTGCCTTTATGGGCACTCACAGCCTCACCTGCAGGACTCCTCCACACCTGTGTGTGAACCCCGGCACCTGGGCTGCAAGCGGGTGGGGGCCCCTGTCATCCACCTCAGGCTTGCTGAGTGATCCATGCTGATCAGGATAGAGAGTGATCAGGGAAGGGGTCTGAAAATTGAGTGATTTCCCATTTGATCAGGGACAGTATCAGAATGAAAACTACTGGGTCTGAGTAGCCAAGAGACACTGCAAAGAAGGGTCCCAAGAACTCTGAGCTGATGCAGCCATCCTCTGTGCAAGGGGGAAAGAAGAAGGCTTCAGACCCATCATTGGCACTTGATACATGTTTGCTCAGCCTTCAGGGAATAAATGCAGATGTTCTCACCCTTGGCACTGTTGGCAAGCTAAGCTGGATAATTCTTTGCTTTAGGGACCGTCCTTGTCACTCTACGATGTTTAGCAGCATCCCTGGCCTCTGCCCACTAGACAGCTGTAGCAGTTTCCTCTTGTGTCACCCAAAAACGTCTCCAGACACTATCAAGTGTACCTGGAAGGAAAAGTTGCCCAACTGGAAACCGCTGGGTTAATGAATCAAAGAATTAAAACCGAGTCACTGTTGGCTGTCGTAAAGGAAAGAGTAGGGTCCACCGTGACACTCAGCAGACTCACTTAGAAGTCAGCTAAGCAGGCAGAAGGCCCAGCACATCTCTATTAGGAGGCTGAGATGAAGTCATCGTGACTGCTTCTCCCCACTTGTCAAATGGCCCAACAGAGAAAATTCGCAAAGTGTGACACTTGCAGCAGCAACAAATGACTGATCCGGGATCCAGCCCAGGGCTGCAAGCTCTGTCACTGTTCCACACAACTGCTCGACTTACACTGGGGCCAGAAACAATGCACCACCTCTTAAACGAGCAATTTCCCTTCAGAGTGATGGATGACCTGCCGCTCACCAGCTACAAACCAACCCTGCTTCTCACTCTTCACGAGCTGCACCCCTCCAGGGCTTTACGGTAAATTAATCAACAACTGAGAGGAGGTTGTAGAAAGACTCAGGGTGAGGAGAGAAAATCTCCAAATTCAAAGAGACGGGGCTAAGCAAATTACATCTCTGGCCTCTGTCCTGTCATCCACTGCTAGCTGCTGTGCAACAAAGACAAATGGAGACACGCCATCTTGACGAATTTGGGACTGGGAGTCAGTCTCAGGATGTATCTCCAGCTGGAGCTGGTCTTCAAGGCAGTCCTCCAGGATGCCGGCCAAGAAAGAAACAGAAACCAACGTGGGATTTCACTGAACACCTTCAGGCTGGCAGAAATTAAGAAATAGTAAATTACAAAAGTTAACGAGAATATGGAGCAGCAGACGCCCTGGTCAGTAGGTCCGGGAACAAGAAGAACCCTGTGGAAAAGCGCGTGTCGCCCTCTTGGGCCCTGAATGTGGATGTGCAGCATGACCCAGCACCCACTTAATAGATGCAGACTGGGACCCACAGGATGCACAAACACCCAGCCTTGCTTGTGCAGCAGAAGTGTGACGTGAAGATGTCCATCTGCAGAAGAAGGAAGAAGCAGCATGTCATAACAAATAAGGCAGGTTTTATGAATGTAGCACTAGATGAAACACCACTGGCCAAAGAAAACATCTGCTGAGTCATTCTGCTTAAAATAAGGCTCAAAACCCCACGAAGTTAAGCACATGGCATTTAGAGTTGCATTCACATCTAATAACTACAAAAGCCACCAGAAAAACAGATAAAGGGTGAATAGGGTCAATTTCAAAAGAAGGATTACAGGGGGGGAGAGGGGGGGGAGAGGGGATGCTTCGGAGTTACTGGTAATGTTCTACTTCTTAAGCTAAATATGAAGATATGCAGGCCATCATGGTAATATGGTTATCATTTTCAGTATATGTGTAGACAGTACTATGCCTTTATTCAAAATATTAACATTTATTTTCTAATAAATTAAGGAGTGTGGTTGACACCGCAGAAGAAATTCTTAGCCTGCCCAGACCTATCCAGAAGAAGGGAAGTGCGGTATAAAAGCAGGCCTGCCTCACACCAAAGACCCAGGGACCGCTCCTGCTGGCTCCATGTATGGGGGAGGCAGCGGGGCTCAGGAGGCCAAGAAGTATTTGAAGCTCAGAGAAATGGGAAGGGGCTGCTTGCAATTCACTCTGCTACCTCGGAGCCACCCTCAGAGCACATGTTTGGCAGCTTAGCCCCAACAGGAACCAGGCACCAGGCAGCTGCACTGACTCACTACTCCTCACGGCAACCCTGCCAGGGAGGCTTCACTACTCCCCCCGCAGGGAAGGGACCTGAAGCACAGGGAGGCGATGTTACCTGACGAAGATCACAGGCTGCAAACTGCATAGACGGGTTCCAAGCTGGAGGCTGTCTACTCCAGAGCTTGACCTCTTCTCTCTACCGTAGGCCACCTCCTGACATCCTTCACCGACTCCCTTCCCCATGCACCACAGCAATGCTTGTGGCGAAACAGACAAAGACACCCCGTCCTCTCAGGCTTCTCACATAAGCTGAAATTAAGAGAAGCGAGTTTAATTCACCCAACCCCAACAGGCCCGGAGCCTAACTGGGCAATCACCAAGCATCGCAGTGAACAAGACTTGACAACACAGGAAAGGCGAGGGAGTTGTTCCTGTCTCTACTCAGCGAAACAAAGCGCAGTGTTCTTTTCTTCTTTGCAAAAACAAGGGAGGCACGAAGGGAGGTAAGGCTCCTGGAGCCGCAGTAGACACCCGGAGGGGACCCTAGCGGGAGGGAGCTGCTTGTGAGACCAAGCACGGCCCGGCCACTGTCACAGTAGCCTGGCGATTCAAGGACGACCAACGAGACCAACCCAACAGAGACACTGCTCTAGGTTGCCCCCCACGCCTACGACCTCTGCTTTCTGGCTCCTTACCTGATCTTGTTGGCGATCCCAGCTTCACCCAAGCACCCTGCTGGTCTTTGGCTACCTGGTCTCTCCATTTGAGACTCACTGATACGACGAATCAATCCTCCAGGGTCCCTGGCCTCAGCTCCTGCCATGTGGACGTCCACAGGAAAGGGAAATACGAAGAGGACAGAAGAGCCATCCCTGGGGCACTCATGTGGAGTGGCCCCTCCCGACTACAGCAGCCTCTGAGCCTCTGAACACGTGCACGTAGTCCTGACGTCACTCTGTGACATGAATCATACCCAACCAGATTTTACACTGTTATTGTGCACCCAGCCAGACTAAAATGTTACTGTACGCCCACACAGGGGAGACGAAGACACAAAAATTGCATAAAAGGGTGCAACTGTGCCATGTTGTGCCCTCGGCCTTTGGTTACGAGTCTGCTGAGTCGGCACTGGCAGGACTAAAGCCACTTCCTGAGAAAACGGCCTCTGTGTCCCCTTTCCCTGCACAAGGATGGATTCGGTGTGAGGAGTAAAAGAAAGAATGGAACTGAGGGTGACTGCGAAACTTGGTCCGAGCCATTGGAAAAGAGCAGTGAATGGAAAAGCTGAACTGGGCGGGTCGTGTGGAGTGTTTGAGGGTAGGCGGAGAACAGCTTTAGACACAGAATTTGCTATTAAACGGTGAAAAAAGATGTAAAGCATGCAGTTGTTTGGTGCAGAAGGAAAACAAACTTCGAAAGAGAAGTCAAAGCTGACTTACAAATCTGGGAGCGGTCAGAATGTGTACAGCATTTAAGTAGTAAGACTGAGTGCTCTTATCAAGTATAAACAGACCACGGGCAGTACAGCAACCCTCTGACATCAAGGGTTGGGAAAGAAGTGTTGACGCTGTCATACGCATAGTGCTCCACAAGCTCTAGAGAAAGATAACACACAGTCTAGACTGCTGCACAACACCATTCACCACGTCGTCACACAATTCTTAAAAAATGTTAATTGCTCAAAGAAGCAGAAGAAATGTACTCATAATCTAGCGAAAAATTCAGGCATACTGACCCACTGATCACCTAAATTTTGGAATTAGAAGACAATGATACTTTTAGACATAACTGTAAATATATTAAAAACTGAGAGAAAAAAATGAATAGAGTGAAACAATAATTTCAAGAAAGTTAAACTATAAAAAGAGAATAACATTGAAATTCCAAAATTAAAACCCACTGCACCTAAATCAAATATTTATTAGATGAATTTAATGCCAGACTCAAAACAAACAAAAGGATCATCAGGTACAAGGCATGTTAGCAAAAACATACAGGCTGAAACGGAGAAAATCATTTTTTTAAATCTGAATTCACTTTACCATTTCTCACAGTGGCGTGTGGCATTTTGAGCACAGTAAGAAAAAGTCACAAGGTCCACAAACTCAAATAATTTTATTTTTTTAAAAGAATGCCTGACACATATGGAACAATATAAAATACTCTAACTTAAAAATTGTAGAGAAAAAAAGATGAAGAGGAAGAAATATTTAAAACTAAAATAGTCAAAATTTTTCTAAAAATTGACAAAAATGAAAAGCAGGATAAATATAAAGTAGATATCTTAGACACATATAGGTAAAGTGCTAAAAATTAAAACTGAAGAGAAAAATCTTAAAAGTATTCAGAGGCAGAGCCTGGGATTTAGCTCAGTGGCGCTGCACCCTGCCTTACAAACACAAGGTCCTGAGCTCAATCCCAGTACCAAAAAACAAAGTATTCAGAGACAAAGGAAACTTCACATTTAGGAAGAATCCACATTGCAAGGAGAAAAAGAAAGAGCTTTGAGAGGGAGAGAGCGAGCACAGGGGAGAGGGCAGGCAAGGCGAAGTGAAAAGAATTCAAATGTGCAGACAGGAACATCTCTAAAGTACCAAGGCCTGGGTAAGCTTAGAATTCTGTATCAGGTGAAAAATTCCACAAGATTTATTCAGATTCTAAAACTTATATGGAAATGTGAAGACCTAAAATAGCCAAACAACCCCAAAGCAGAACAAAATTGAAATATTTAGTGTCCTTGATTTTTGAGGCTTGATAATCAAGCTTTGATTATGAAGACAGTGTAGTGTAATTTTAAGAAAAGGAGATCAGGGCTGGGATGTAGCTCATCGGCGCCATGCCTGCCTGGCAAGCACAAGATGTGAGTTCAATTCCTGTTACCAAGAAAAGGAAATCAAAGGAACAGAAAACAGAGTCCAGAAATAGGACTGTACTAAAGGGTCGAGTGATTTTTGACAAAAGTACAAGACCAGTGGGGAAAGAACAATTGTATTAACCACGTGGTATTGAAATAATTGGCTGGCATATGGAAAATATTACTCGGGTTTGAACTTCACACCATTCGTAAGACTTTATTCAAGATGGATCACAAATGTAAGTATAAAAAATAAAACTAAAAAGATCCTAGAAGGAAAAACTGGAGGATTTTTATAATCTTAGGATTTATTTATTAGACTGGTCTAACAGCATTAGTCTTAAAATTTTAAAGCTGATTAATTAGACTTCACCATATTTTAAGCTTTTGCTCATCGAAGGGCACCATTACCAAAAACAAGAGGTCTGCTTTGGGTTTATCCTATTTTTATTTAAGAATCTCTGGGTGTGGATATTCTGTGATATGATAATTAGCCTGCATATGTGAGACAAAAACTTTATATCCAAAATATTTAAAGAGGTTTATCAAGGTGCTGTAGTTTGGGTCTGGAATAGCTCCTCACAGGCTTGGTTCAAGCTTGAGGCTCTCGGGGGTTGGTGGAAATTCAGAGGCAGGGCCTGTCAGGAAGTCTCTGTGCCCTTCAAGGGCTTTGTGGGACCTCGGTCCCTTCCTCTTCCAGTCTTTTTTGCCTTCTCCACCTTGAAGTGAATAGCTTTGTTCTGTCACATGCGGCCACCTTTCTGTGCACCTGGTCATAAGCCCAGAGCAACAGAGCCTGTGAAATGGAACCCCTGAAACTGTACACCAAAATAAGCTTTTCTCTTTGTAAATTGATTATCTCAGGTATTTGTCACAGTGACAGAAAGCTGACACACAAGTCAATACAAACAAGAAAATGTAATCACCTTAAATAAGAAAAAACACATAAATGGCCGATAACCTCAGGAGAGTATGTTCAACATCATCCAGGATATGGCGATAATACTACATTCTGCCCCAAGAGATAAAACTACAACTGCTGACAATATCGAGTACTGATGAGGATATCACGCAATCTAAATTCTTAGTAGTAAGAGGGAGAATGGCACAGAATACTTTGGTAAACTGATCGGCACTTAAATATACACCTACCTACACCTAAGAATATAACCGAGTAAAATTAAAATGTAGGCCTACGAGAACATTTCCATAAGAATGTTCATAGCAGATGTACAGATAACAGTGCAAAATTGGAAAAAGAACCAGAAAATGGATAAACAAATTAAACAAATTGCAATCGACTTAAGCACAGAAAAACTTAAAGGATAAACTACTGATACATGGATTTGTCAAATCTCAAAAACATTTTCTAAACAAAAGAAAGCTGACACAGTCCCTAAACAGGAAGCTCAAGAATAGATAAAACTAACCTACCGCGATGGAAACGTAAATAGAATCAGGTACTGAACAGGGCTTACAAATGAAACTTTCAGGTGCAATGGAAATGCTCTACTGTCTCGATTTAGGAGGTGGTGGGCACTCACAGCTGTCAAAACCATTGAGCTAAGTACAGAAAGTCTATTTCGCTGTATTAAAATCTGCTTCAACGTAAACATACTTGTTGAAGAGAGAAATGAAAAGCTTATTAAAGAAAGAATGACGAAGAAGCATTGGAGGCCACGTGCACAGAAGAACCCTTCAGTCCTGCATTGGGACAGACAGCAGTGCAGCAGTGGTAACCGAGGCTACGAGGCTAGGAAGACAGGTTTGTTTTCTAAGATAAGGAAAAAAGGCAGTATAGTTGCACGCCTATGGGAATGATTTAGGAGTGGGGCAAAAATTGCCGAAGTGACTTCCTGGAGAAGACAGAGCTAGGCTACAAGTAATGAGTTGACTTGACTTTTTTTTTTTTTTTTTTTTTTTTGTGACAGGGTCTCATTATATAGTTCAGGCTGGCCTTGAATTCACTGTGGAGCCCAGGCTGGTCTCAAACTCACAGGGATCCCCCTGCTTCAGCCTCCTGAGCACTGGGATTATAGATAATGCACCACATGTCCAGCCCAGTGGGTCGATTTGAAATAAGAGCTACCATGGGCTGGGGATTTAGCTCAATGGTTCTGCCGTCTGCCTTGAAATAGAGAGCCATGGTGATCATCTATGACTTGGTGGAGAAGCACAGCTGTGGGAACAGCTGATCTTCGTGTGTGGATTTTCTCTTCTGATTATTTTTCTTTTCTCAGTAAAGTCAGAGCAAGGCTCTCAGCAA